CACTGTTAACCTTGATTGATAAATATTCAAAATAATATTGTTTTATATGCAACACTTAAACGTTTCAATTAATAATTTATTTTGCTGTCTACGCGGCTATATCGTACCAATTATCGCGCTTGTAAATTTATTTGAGAATTCCTCTTATCTTTTAATAAGTATACAATTACATATCGTGGGTGAAAGTGTAAAACCTCGTATGTGCATTCACAAAAATTTAAGAGGAGATGATAAAAACTATAAGTATAGATAAAAGAGTTTCATGTTCTTTCTTTCTTAATTTTTATAAATCATAACAACATATAAAAAGTATATCTTAAAGGCGATTATTACAAAAATTGTACATACAAGGTTTTGCACTTTCACCGACGATATACAATACAATTCAAAAATATATTCCATTTGATGTAGTTTTTTATATTAAATTTAATTTTGTAAAGCAAAAATATAAATATTTACCTTTTTGTGTAAGTATTACCACCACTGTTATGCGAATTTCAAAATCATATTATTATATTTAATATCATGCTTCAGCGTACGTACTAAAAGTAGTGCACCAACGGCCTTTTGCACTACCTTAATGAATTATTATTTTGTTTGGGGGCTTTTAATTAAAAACCGGCTTGTTTTTATCAACCTATTATAAATGTTAATGTGAAAAAACGTCAATAACACTGCACGATAAGGATTTGTCATGTGTTTGTGGAAACTAAAACCGAAAAATGTCAGTAAAGATGAAGCACAAAGTCAGTTTATTTATTAAATGCAAATAAGATTTTTTTAACGGTGTGTGGTTTGTTGTCATGTTTAACAAGTCCTTTTATTATTTATGGTGTGTATGTGTTTAACAATATTTCTAGTTTATGAACTTTGCAAGGTAATTAAGATGTAAATTTTTTGTATTTATTTGATTTAATTTGGTTCATTATTAAGAATTTTTTTATTTATATTATTACTTTCTTATTTAATGCAGCTATTTTTCTTCTAATATTCTAGGAAAAATGCGATATAAAAGTATTTATTGATTTTATAGATCAACTTAACATAACATTACCTAATAAATACAGAAACAAGTGCTTTACAAATTTTTATACCTTATACCAATAATAAAATAAATAAATACATACATACCATATAATAAATAAATAAATACCGTATACCAATAATAGATTAGGTTACAACGACATATTTAATTGAATGGCATTTCGCGGTTGAATAATATGTTAACCTTTATTACTTACTTAATATTGTATCTAACATGTTTTTGCCTAGTATATATTTAGTATATATTTAATTCATTACAGCTCCGCTCTGCAAAGTAGCAATTTCCCCATTAGTTAAGTAAATATAACTATAACTATATCATGTTTCTGTATAGGGCCATAAGTGAAAATATTTGAACGTGTACTAGATACAATTCATACTACATTTTTTTATACTGTATTATACTTGTTGTGGACCTTTGGTATTTTTGGGTAAATAAATAATTAAAAAAAAACAGATTAATAATCTGAGATTATAGTCCCTATGTGAAAGCTTTAATTTAAGTATTGCAAAATTATTCTTTCAATTAGGTGGATACATTTTCCACTGAACCAATAAACTAGATATCGTAAATTACCATAGGGTAAATGTCTTATTTATTTGTATTAAAATATACTGGTTAAAATCTTATGTTTTCTACAGGGTTTGTCAAAATGACCTTGGCAAACGTTGTGGATGCTCCCATTAACAAAAACTTATATTATTATTACTATTTGCGAAACTCTCTCTTTGCTATTTGGTTTACTTTACAGGAGCAAGAAAAAACTTTTTATCTTGAACGCAAATTATTTTTTTGGTTCAATTTATTTTGTTTCCAATACATTAATAGGCATGACTAATAAATATGATAATAATTATTGTACTATGCTCCACACCTCAAAGTCCCACCACGTGACCACGTACGGAACGCAGTCTTTTGAAAATTTGGCATTTAAGGCTTTTCAGGTTATGTATCTGTCAAAGTATAGTCAACGAAAGAAATAATGTTATGTTTAGGCGTTAAAAATGTATAAATCTTTATAACATTACAATAACAATGGATGCTTTAAGAATTTAAGAATATAAATACTGCATTTAATGAAATTGTAAAGTGTATGATGCCAAATAAGTAATATTTTTGTGCATTTGGTCCAAATATCTGGTTTTCTCCAAAAAATAATTTTAACTACTATCTCTATTAGGGAATAAGAATATCTGTTTTAAAGGTAGGTTAATTATTATAACAAAAATATCATCTAATTTTGTAATTTTAAGGTTAGAAAAATTTATTTTGATGAAAATAAATAAGTATTTTAGAATATTTAATAAAAGACTGTATAATATCATATTTAATAATTTGGTAGTTTTTCTTATCCAGCTTAAAGTGAACTTACATAAAGTTTTGTCAATACAAATAGTTAAAAAGCTTTGACTGAATTTGATGTACATCGAAAACTCATTATAACTTTAAAAATTTTAATAAATCACATGTCATGGGAGTATTAAATATTTTCACATTGCAAGTTTCTCTAAAAATTGTTTGTTTTCTTATAATCTAACTTAAAGTAGGTATGCCGAGAGGTATGCACAAGTTTTGTCGTTAGAAGTATAAAAGCTTCAATTTAATTTGAACCATATTCAACAATTATTTAGTATACCTATATTTATTTATGACCATATTAACACACTCTTCCAAATAATCCACTTATTTATTTTGGCCAAAATAGATTTTTCTAACCTTAAAATACAAAATTAGATGATATTTTTTGTTCTAAAACCTACCTTTGATACAGATATTCTTATTTCATAATAGAGAAGTTAGATTTTTTTAATAAATGCAGTTTAGTTAAAACTATTTTATGGAAAAATGTAGACCCAATGCACAAAAATACCACTTATATTGCACCTTACACTTTGGAATTTCATTAAATGCAGTATTTATATTCCTAAATTCTTAAACCAACCATTGTTATTGTGATACTATAAAGATTTATTAACTTTTAACGCTTAAACATAAGCGGTAACACTATAAATATTATTTCTTTCATTGACTATACTTTGACAGATACATAACCTGAAAAGCCTTAAATGCCAAATTTTTAAAAGACTGCGTTCCGTACTTTGAATAAAAAACCTCAGGAAGGAGTAAATGATAGAAAATAGCTGACCGCAGAGGAGACTAACCAATTGGTCGCCACAAATGGCGGACTATCGTTTCCGCCAGCTATAACGTTTAATTCTTTGCAAGGTTTAGTTATTAAACAACAAAAACGCATAGAACAAACCATAAGCGCTATTAAACAACAAAAAGACGCTTTTAAAAGCGTTTTTTGTTTAAATAAACAAACTAAAAACGCTTAAACAGGTAAATAAACAAACACAAACTGTCATCTGTCAGAAAAAATGACTTATAATCGGACTCTTAAAATGGCGACTTCCGTCGTAAATTTATTGCATTAACGAGATTCGGCAGGGTCCTTCCTGAGGTTTTTTATTCAAAGGTTCCGTACGTGGTCACGTGGTGGGACTTTGAGGTGTGGAGCATAGTACATACATAAAATATTTATAAAAAAATAACTTACTGAGATATTACACTTCACAGTGGATAGGTTTTTAAATGGCAAATTAATGAACTTTTGAATTATAAAACAGCAACACTCTCATCTGCATATAAATTCTAACTGACCTTCAGGAATCACATGCATCTATAATGTCGTAAACAGAGGTTTTTGCTTATTTAAAATGATTTGCATAAAATTTAAAGCAAAAACAGATTCACGTAGGATAGAATCAATTTTTGTAAAACCTACATAAATCGTTATAAAAATTATTTCTTTTAATTTTTAATAATATTTTATATTTGATTCGATTGCTTTGGATGTGTTTAATTTACTTAGAGAACTGATATTTTTAGTATGCTTTTACTACCTCAGATATTTGAAAACATATAGGTTAACCTAGAAAGAGTAACAGTCACGGATGGTTTTAGACTTTTAAAACATTGTAAAAAATAATTAATTGCGGTTAAAAATCTGTAACCTGAGCTGTAATATCTTCTTAATTATGAAAGATGAAAACACAATAAATGTGTAGGTCAAACCAGGGCCGTACCGAGGCACACTTTTTTGGGGGGGGTGGAGACGATAAAAACAACTTATTTTTTTATCGATACTTTAGTAGTAATAGTAAAAATTTTCAGTAGTTTTATCATGTATGTAAAGTGTTGTAAAGTGTAGTCGTTCTTTATTTTTTTGATTTGCTGCCAATGTAAGTAGATTATCCGGGACAGCAACAATTTTAATTTTAACCAAATTTCCACCGTGAATATTTTCCCCGCGCATTTTTTTCTGGTCCTTGTTAAACACAGATCCACATAATGAGCATTTTACTAGAACTCGGCCCGGTCTAGCTTTCTTTTCCATATTAAAAAAAATTAATTCCCATTTATTGACACTAGTTTTACTTACTACAACTAATTAATAATGTAGAAAAATAAGACGCCGAAAATTGCGGTGCGTAAAAAGAGTCAAACGCCGCCAAAACCAAAGACAAAGCCGCGAGGCGGTGCCGACTTTGTACATACCGCTTTTGTGAAATATAATGTCATTTAATAAAAATAAGGTTTACCAATACAATTTTCTTGACGGTAATGATTATAGGAGGTTACAATAGATTAAAAATTATAATTTTGTAATAAATAGGTAAAGTTTAAAAATTATATTTCATTTTATTTATTGTGATGGATTGGTTGGTAGGGTAGGTATACCCAACCAACCGACCCAAATACTATAGATTTTGCCAACCGTGTTTGGATTTGGAACCAACTGTCAAGACTTTGGGGGGGTGACTCCCCCCTACACCCCCCTTAGGCCCGGCCCTGGGTCAAACTCATTTAGTTTTATAAATATCACGGGGTTAAAGATTCACCCTAATACAAGTATTGCGTAATTTGTATGAATTGTTTTCGTTTGTTGCAGGGCATACCACCTCAACAACGGGTTCGTGCGCCAGCTCTAGCGGCGCCAGTGGCAGCGGCGGTGGAGCCAGCCAGAGCTCATCGTCGAGAAGGGGCGCATCGGCGGCGGCTGCAGCAGCAGCGGCAGCGCAGACCGGAGGCGGAGCAGCCCGCGGCGGCCACCATCACCACCAGAAGGTGACCACCGGCTCCGTCGGTGCGCAGCCGTCGCACCTGCACCACGCGCAGGCGCCGCTCCCCGCGGCAGCGAACGCCGCTGCCGCCGCGGGCGCGACCATGGCGGCGGCCGATCGACCCGCCGACGTGCCTAACAACGGCCTCTCAGGTAAGAGTAAGGGCAAAACGACGACGACCCACAAACAAGCCACCAACAAGCAACACACAAACAACAAAGGTAAACACACACGCTGATTTTCCGGGCCTTTCTTTTAATTGCATTCATTTTTTGGTTTGGTTGGCCTGGTGAAGGTTTAGGCCCTATGTAAAAAACATGTTTATTAAAAATATGCTATAATACACTTGGGTGCAAAAAAATCGACTCACAATCTGAACAATAAAAATAAAAATATTAGATATGCCTATAAAAATAGGATACTTTGGCTATTATCAGGTAACGCATTAAAAAAAGATGCAACATTAACAGGGTTGGGTTGGGTTGAAAAAGAGGTGGCAACACAATGGGGTAGTTAAATTTTTTCTGACCTATACTTTTTATGGTTTTATTCAAGGCGTTTTGTAATTTTAAACATTTCTGTGAAATCGGAATTTTAATTGAGTTTAACGTTTTCGAGATATCGTGGGTTGAGTATTATATTGTTCTATAAATCCAAAATGAAATTGTTAGGGAATGGCGATTAAATATTCCAGGCTCATTCTAATACCGTTTGTAAAGATTTTTATAATTTTAAGTACTGGTTTTGGACTCATATCCTTAAGAATTAAAAAATGTATTGTCCCTATTTGAACTTATTTCTTCCAATACTGGGTTTTACAAAATAAACAATTTTTGATAGAACATTTTTTTTTATTGAAAACGAAAATTTTACACAAAACATCAGATTTTGTTCTAACAGCATACAAAATTCTTTAAAACTGAAAGTTTTTAGTTCTAAAGAATTCCAAAACTTTAGGGTTCTAAGAAGTATCCCTTAAATAAGAACATACCTACGCATTCTTTTTTTTTAATTACACCGCACAACCACGTGATTATTACTTGCATACAAAACTGAAACAGCAAGAATTATATTGTTCTAACAGATCAAAATTCTCTTCTCTCATTGGTTGGTCTGTTAGGATATTATAATTTTAAACCGTTTTTAAATAAGTGCGATAGAACAATTTAATAATGCTTTTTTTTAGTTTGTGTATTAAATTAAACAGGCATTTTTATATACATAAAACAGAAATTTTATGTACTATTTTTCTATCAAAAAAGCCGATTTCGCGCCAAAAGTGCTGTTAGAACATTATAATACTCAACCCACGATATGTACAAAAAATATAAATTTTTATGACGTCACAAACCTCGCCATGTGACCAACATTCTAAGATTTCTATTGGTTGAAAATTACCCTGTTGTCAAGTTGTCTTGTTAATGATTTCATTCGGTTATGTCAGAAAATACCCGAAGAGGTTATGTACAAATACTGTCACTGTCAGTTGAGTGAAAGAAGAAGAGGAGGTTAAAGAAAATTCTGAAATTAAAAGTTTTATTGATAGGTTTACACATTGAAACACCGTGTGAAACCTAATAAAATGTAATAAATAGGTACCTAATAACTGTCTAAAGCAGAGTTTAATATATTTCATAGAAAAAAGTGGCAAAATAAAGCTGAAAATGAATGAAATAAATTTACAAAAAATAACAGTAAATGTAAGTTAACAATGGTATTTATGATATTTGTGTATAGTTTTTATAAATCCCTGATGATGAGCATCAAAACCTTTTGTAAGATTAAAAAAATGTATGACAAACTTTTGGACTGTTCGAAGATACTACGCTCTAGAGTACATTTTTGATCACCAAATTCATTAAGTACCTATCTTCCTTATTACGAGGTATCATATTACTGTTTGATATTTTAGAGTCCAAGATATATCTAAAAGAATATAAAGAACTAGGCATTATACTAATGAAATGCATTTACGACAAAATATGATTATAATTTATATATTTATTATTTATTTATTATATTATATTTATACTTATCCGATATTATCGCTACTGTGATATTTGGGATGTACTTTTTAAATAAAAAAAAAAAAATTAAATTACTTTATTTGTTTAAAAGCTCCAATGTTCAATGTAACCAACCATTCCACAAGATTCCTCTGCTTTGGAGTCCGTTATTAATAAATCACTTATCTAATATCAATTACAAATAACATAACTATAACATTGATTTTCAATAATCTAAATTTAAAAAAAACAACCCGAAAAAAAAAACGTCTAAAAATCAATTCTTCTTCTTCTTCTCAACTAAAATTATAGATCAAGTGGTTTTAAAACTAAAATATTATAACGTGGCGCCATCTATCGTAAGAATCTTAAACTAAACACACTGGCAACCATAGAAAAAGCTGGCAACGTTGTTAATAGCCTAGTGTCGTAATTAGCACATTTTTTTTGTAAATATCTCGAAAACGGTAAACTCAATTGAAATTCCGATTTCACAGAAATGTTTAAAATTACAAAACGCCTTGAATAAAACCATAAAAAGTATAGGTCAGAAAAAATTTAACTACCCCATTTTGTTTATTCATTTATTTATTTTCCATTTTTATATTTAAACTATTTTGTGGCCTATAGACTTGTTAAAACTGGTCCAATTTTAGTTAATATGGTATTATTTAAAAGCAATTATTTTGAGCTTTCGAACAATACATATAACATTAATCAGAATGTGGTTGTAGGTTATACACATTCTTTTAAAACTCAAGCTTGTTAGTGAGTCGATTTTTTTGCACAAAAAAAAGTGTCTTAGATAAAATAGTTTTGAAAATTACTGTCATTATACAATTTAATCATTACCTTTTGTAATATTAGGTATATTTAAAAAAAATAGGCAATACATGAAGTTTTTTTATTTAAAAAGTTTGACACAGCCTTTTTAAATCACATAAATTAAGGGTAAATGTTTTCTTTTGTTATATATAGCTACCATTTCAAATAAAAAAAATACGCTAAAAATAGCGCTAAAACCAATTATTAATTTTACGAAAAAAAGTTATTTTTTATAAAAAGTTCTGCTTGGTCTAAAACCTAAAATGCACCTCGTATACGACTGAAAATTTTTTATCTGCATTTTAGGTTTTAGACCATGCAGAACTTTTTATAAAGAATAACTTTTGTTCGTAACATTAATAATAAAAAAGTTTTCCATATGGTGCAAACTTAAGCAGACACACTGTATATATTATATATATTTAAATTATTTGGATGTTTATTAAAAAGGAACCAAGCGCCAAAACTTTTCCTGAGCTTAACAAAATTATTTATAATCCATCTCATTTTAATACTGCTTAAAACTTAATTATCATTTGGGAATCCTCTTAATCCTTTTAAGGGAAGTTCCAAATGATCAACTTTTTGAGCATTATTAAAAATGAGTTATTTTACAAATAATTTTGTAAAAAGTTTTTGGTTCTTGGTTTCTTTTCAATAAACATTATTATATTATATGATATAATATAGAGGTATGGCTCAATGTGCCGTTTTTTTAAAAGATGTGTACAACATAAACTGCGCGTCAAAATTAACGCATAACAAGTAAAAAAAACTCTAAATCGCCTTTACCAATCGATTGGTAAAGATCTTTATAAAATTTTGGATAAAAATACTTAGTTTACGTGTTCAAGGGTTTTTCGAGAAAATATCCTTAAGGCCGTTTTATTTAATAATAAAAAAACGCTCGAAAAAAATTTGTATACGGAATTTTTTTTTTAAGTAAATAAAAAATATTATGTGAAAGAACGAATTTTTGTTAGTAAACTCTGAAAATGTACAAATCAAACAAACAGTAACGAAAATACAGCGCTTCAAAGTCGTCAAAAATGACAATTTTTTCAGCAAAATAATCAAAACTTACATAACTTAACTGTATTACAATGTAAAACTTTTCTAGACCATGTTATCAGTATGGCTATACTGTTTTCGGGTCAGAAATAAATAAATAAATAAATAAAAAAAGGGGTAATTTTTACCGATTTTGAAGCGTTCGTTTGATTTGTACAAAATTTTTAGGGTATACTAATAAAAATACGGTCTTTAACACCATATTTTTAATTTACTTAAAAAAAAAAAACTCGAAATGTTATTTTTAGAACCTTTTTTTTTATTATTAAATAAAAGGGCTTTAAGGATATTTTGTCGAAAAACCCTTGAACACGTAAACTGAGATATAAGTTGAAGTATTTTTATACAAAATTTCATAAAGATTGGTAAAGGCGTTTTTTACTTACTTATTATGCGTTAATTTTGACGGGCAGTGTATTAATTATGACATAAAATTAAATGTCAATTTTAAAAAATTTGACTTTTAAAATGGCTTTACATGTCAAATTAACACTCCCCAATTTGAAACAATTTTTTTTAAATGGATTCACAAGAATTACTGTTATTTTTATCTTACATACAAGAAGTAAATGAAGCCCATTATTACATTTACGGTATGAATTAAAAAAAAAACACATTATATAAAGATAACATGAAACCCTTAAACATTCCTTGCTTTTCTTTCAGGTACCGAAGAACCGCCATCGCCTCAAGAGGCGGCCCAAGCCACTCTGCAAACCGGGGGCGGGCCTTCAGGTCCGAATCCCGACTCGGAGAGCGATGACAGCGAAGTGGGAAGACTGCAGGCGCTGCTTGAGGCAAGGGGACTTCCGCCTCATCTGTTCGGCGCCCTGGGTCCGCGTATGCAACATCTTTTGCACAGAAGTATGGGCACCAACAGCTGTAAGTACCTAATATAAGAATTTGACTAATCATAATATTTGAGGGGCTTGGAAGTAAAACGGTTCAAGTGCATTTTTTTTATCACAATATCACACAATATATTTGGGTGAATATCCAAAACGGGGATAAATTGGGGTGGTAAAAAAATAAAAAGCAAAGATTGATAAAACACTAGCAAAATAATACCTCAATGTGTATTTCTTAATAACATAAAGTAATTTCAAGGCGTCTATAAATTAAACTTAATATACATATAGTTATAATAATAATAATACTATTAGAGAATTTTTTTAAAGAAAAATTAAATTAAACTTATTATAATAATGCCTTAACTTATATGAGCTAAGAGTTTAGGGCAATAATAAGAAAGTAAACCACTCCATGGACATACCTTTTAACTCCATGGAGTTGATGTTTTTATAGTTAAAGTCACAAACTTTAGAAAATGGTACATAATGTATCTTTAGTTAACTGTAATTTAAGCAAAGCATATTTGGTTATTTCACCTGGAGAAAGTTTAAATTTCAATTGTATTTAAATCCCTTTGTTATTAAAGACATGGAGTTGATCTTTAATAAAAATACTTACCCGTTTTTTCGCAAATAATTGTTCTTTATAAATTTTTATTAATTATTACACCCACTTTGCCTTGCTTACACAAATCAACACTAAATCACTCAAACGACGAAGTCTTCAAACATTACTAAAATACGTTTTATACAGGGGATTTATCATATATTAAAAGACTGCAAAGAACTCAGCTGTAAAATGGTGTCTCATGCTTTATTCGACATTTTGGTTTAAAATATCAATAAGTTTGCTTTTGGTTGTGTTTTTTTATACATTCCAAGTTAGACGAAATGCAATATGAAAGAATCATTTCACAATTGAATCTAGTCTAATAGTATGTGGATGATTTGTTGTCCCTATGCTAGGTGGTGACAGTCCATGGAGTTGACTTTAAAGCGTTTAAGCAAATTCAAATTAATAAAATAAATAATGTTTTATTTTTTTGGTTAAGTACGTTCTACTGCTAGACATAAACTGTCTATTGTAGTATTATTTAAATGCTAACTACTTTCATTAGTATATTTTATTTAAGAGTTTCAGCATATTTGCTCCGTTCTGGAGAATCACCCATTTATCACAATATCACACCTAAAGAATATTCTAACTTAGTGGTAAAATTATATAAGTACATTTAACATTCCTTGGCGCCATTTCTTATCGTCTTTAAAAACCTGTCATAATATTTTAAAATATATCTTTGGTAAAACGATTTAAGTGCACCTTTTACTGCTAAACGTAGGCTATTTACCACTTATTTTATAAAAACATAGAGCACGATGGAGATTCATCAGAAAAAAAGGAAAATAAGAAACAAACTTAGACCATGGCATTGAGCCAAAAAAAATCCAATTTAGATCAACCCCAACCAAGACCAGCTAATTCAGATGAAGAAAACGTTGTATTTGATTCTGATTATGAATAATACTTTTTGTTCTAAAACTTACCCAAATTTTATATTGCATTTAAATAATTTTACCACTAAATTTTGTCTTACATGCATTACGATTCAAGTACATTTTTGTAAAAAAAATTAACAAAAAAGCGAAATTGAAAAATTCCTTTTTCTTTATAATCCTTTTAGTCTTAAAAAAAAACTAAAATATTCACACAGTTTTTAAACTCTTTTCTAGAATTTTAAAATTTAAGTTAACTTTAAAGCCATTTATCTCTTTTACTTCTATGATAGTTTTACAAACTTTTTTTTTCCTAGCAAGTACTCCAGCTTGGTTTAACTAATTTTGGGCCGCTGATTTCAAAAATGTCATTAGTTTTTCTCTAGGAAGTCTAGGGTTTAAAATAATTTCGTAATAAAATGCTCTGCTCAATCACCTCAAAATGTAAGTTTTTTGTTGGTATTTTAATTATTTATTAAAGTATTTTGGCTTAAATTTATCTTGAATGTAATAAAGGGGCATTCCACGTCACTCGGTACTTTTTGTCTCGCCAGTAACAATTAAAAATTGTGAGTAAAAACGACAAGTTATTAAATTAATATTTTATAATATTATTTTTATTGTGCTTATAACTTATTAAAAGCATAATAAACAATATTTTAAAATAAATTTTATAACGTGTAGTTTTTACTCACAATTTTAATTGTGACGGGCGGGACAAAAATCCCCGAGTAATTGGTATACGGCAAATAGATCATATTTATCATACAATATGGCATTTTAAATACTAAAATTAATTTAATGTATTTTAATTTAAAAAACAACCATTATTTGACATTTTTTGTCGTTTATTTTAATTATTAAATTGAAAGTAAACAAGTTTCAGTATTTTTTATCAAAATTAAGCCCACAAAATTTAATGCATTGCATAATTTTGCTGTTTTCTACCTTAAATTTATTAAATCGTATCAAATATCAAATTGGATTATAGGATTATTGTGCTTAATCCTCATCAACGTCGTACATCTTTTGCTGCAAATTCCAGCAAATGTCTCCTAGCAATGAATCCAACTTCTTTCCGCTATACCCATAGATATCTACCAATGCTCTAGATTTGCAGTTACTTGGTGAAATCGTTCTCCATGTTCATCACTTCGGCAAACTTATCAGGATGAAAAAAAAGAAAATGTATTTTAAATGACATATTAACGCTAATTCTTTGCAAAACGAAAAGCAATATTTCAATGAATTGGCTCCATATGAACCAAGAACATTTTCAATGACAGCTTTAACACTGCATATGCGACAAGCTCGTCAACTTTTAGAGCATTTTTGAATGCTTGATCTTCCATTAAACGTCGTATATCAGGTCCATTTAATATTCCTACAAAATTAAAGTAGTAGGTATGTCTCATAAAATTTTGTAATGAAATATTGCGTTGGTTTTTCTTGGGCGTAGAGGTACCGCAACAAAAACAAAACAAATTTACAACGACGACATAAATGTTCGTCTCCTTTCTCTTTCTCTGCTACTTCCATTACCACTTTCATTTCCTGCTTTTTTTTCATTTTGGTTCTTAAAATCACTTTCAAGTAAAAATACAATTTAAAGTTTAAATTTTAAATGCCAATAATTAATATATGCACAGTGTGCTTGAACAATAAAGTAGATAAAGGCGCCTTTATACTTCAATTCGATATTAAATTTTGATAAGACTTAATAAATAAGATTCAAGATTAAATTTTTGGGTACTTTAGGCATGATGTGAATAAAACCATATCAAATAATAGTGGAAGAGTAAAGCTTATACCAAAACCCATTTACTTTGTTGCCTTTTCAATTTAATTTGTATTAAAAAAACCACACAAAAATTTCAAAAAAGTATACTTTTTACCAAAAAGAACATTATAATTTTAGTTTTGGTATTTAATGAAGCACTTCTCTGCAGAAAAGTGCTTTATTAAATATCCCTTATATAATATTACCATAGTATACGGCTACGATGGAACAAAAAAATTTCTATTTGATATTTATCTACCGATCTATCCCTGTATATTTTTAACAAAAAACGTCAAAAATATACTGAACATCCAAATTAAAGCAAAATAATTTAATAAATAATCAAAATATTAACAAAATACTTACATTTTGAGATAATTGGGCAGAGCATTTTATTACGCAATTATTTCGAATCCTAGACGTCCTGGAGCAAAACGAGTGGCATTTTTGAAATCAGCATCCCAAAATTAAATTAGTAAATCGAACTATCATAGTGTTATTGCTATTACTTAATCAGTTTATGAGTAAATTTCAAATAAATGGTTTTAACAACCTTAAACTAAGTTTTAAGAGTTTATTTTTATGGATGTTTTGACATTGAATTTAAGAGATTTCTTAAATGTTATAATCCACAATAATTGCTATTTTAATTTTTGTTTTAAAATTATAGTAGTGGTTTATGCTGTAAATGTGCATAATACATATTATGTTAATAATGGCATCTTATGTATAAGAGTGGTTTTTCTTTACACAGAAATTCGATATTAAGTTTTACTCGGATTTATATAATTTAAAAAGTATTTTATATGATCTAAACCATTTGCTCTTAATCCCCCTTTTATCTTATACTAGTTTTATAATACTCGACATTGGTTATTTTAAAACTAATTTAAATACTTTAAATAGATATTGGATTGATTCGTAATTCTTGACAAATCTGTTATAACATCGTGACGTCACAATCTCTCTTCAAAGTCACTTAAACGTTTTGAATCTTGGTTTGCCAAACGCTGTAGCGTGCTAATAAATTGTTTAAGAAACATAGGAAAAATTTTTAATAACAAACTGGTATATGTAGATTCCAAATATGCAATAAAAATACATGTCCCAACCCCATTGTACCATTAACAAACGTATTTTTATTTTAATCTTGGTTTTTTTTTATTTTAAATTTCCATTCTTTTACTTGGTACAGCAAAACATTACGTTAGATTTTGACTTTTAATATCTTTTCAGCTGTTCAAAGAGCCCAAGCACTTTTACCAGGCCTACAAGCTAGCGGAGATGAAGGCCAACAATTGCAGGCCGTTATTGAAATGTGCCAAGTTTTGGTGATGGGCAACGAAGAAATTTTGACCGGCTTTCCTATTAAACAAGTAGTTCCAGCCCTCATTACCCTTTTGGGGATGGTCAACAATTTTGATATTGTAAGTAAAATATATATTTTTTATTTTATGGCTTTAAATTGTACTGGCAATATTTTTCTGTGTGGTATTGCTGCTAATTTAAGGCCTATATCAAATTTCGCAATTCAGGCGCAACTACTTTTGAAGTTTAAGTTCAGTTGTGTATGCTATTGCAGACAAAATAACATTAAAGTTTGGTTAATTGTTACAGATGTTGAGATAAAAATATTTGAATTTGAATTTAATATTAGAAAATTCAATTTTTGTAATAATTCAAAGGTACTTAAAAGTACCTTTATCTACTAATATCGAAATAAAGTGAGGTTAAAATAAATGTTATTTATAAATACTACCTAATTCGAGTAAAAAAAAACACACTCATTATTCAATTTTATAATAATGTAGTAATAATTTGAATATTTGAACCAATAATTTGAACTTTTCAAACAGTTCAAATGATATTTTTCGATTTGATTCGTTTTGAAAAGAGCTGGCAAATAACTGGTCACATTGTTTTCGTGACCAGTCACATTGCTAATGTGAATGTGAATTTAAAAAAATTCTTACACTATACGCTAAAGAAGTATCGCTAGTAGCGCCACCACTCGGCTGTTATCATCGTAACAAAAGTAAAACTTTTAATAATCAGCTGTCAAACGCTTATGTTACAAACAAGTGTTTTTTAGAATAAAGCCGGAAATCTTAAAAATATCGGAAAAAACCGTGGCAAGATGTGTTGTGTTATTGGGTGTATTTCGAGAGGAAATCCTGGGTTGAGTTTTTACCGGTTTTCCAATAAACAGTGTTAATCCGAATGAAGAAATAAATTTCATACAGTCCCTGTAAATATAAATTGTATCTATTAGATACAATAAATACACATTTTAGTAATGATTAACATGAAAAGTGTATAATTCAGTAAAAATCGTCAAACAAATAAGTAGTCTAAATTTAAACAGAATTTAGCATTATTAAAAGCGTTGATTAAAAAAGTCTCCACTCAACGGTAAAATACCATTATATTATGTATAATATATAATATTAGGATGCTATGAATTCGTAGGTGGGCGTTTCTCTGTAAACTGGGCAACTTGAAGTAAGAAATTGTCTAGGCAAGTTTTTTTGTTATATTTTTGTTGTATTTAATAAATGTTATTCGAGGAATAAATATCGGTCTATTTATTAGTATACGGCAGATGAACCAAAAATATTCCTAATACTTTGGAAAACATTGAGCATTTTCTGAAAAATCTATACAGGGGACTGTTTATAAAATCCGGAGACAAAGTTTAGATGACTTTTTTGGAATTACAAAGTAATAATTATAAAAAATAAATAAGTCACAGTAACAAGCAAACAATATTGGTTGAATAATTAAACAATTAGGTTGATTCCAATAGTTACTGTCTTTAATTAATTTAGTCTGAAGTGACCATTTTGCTTTGGTGACACGTCAGGGGACTGGTTTTTAAGGACTATAAAAACGATTTTGATACATTAAAGTTTATTTTATTGGATTTTGAACGTCGAGCATAGGTAGATTAGGTTATTATCTTTTGAAGTTATCTACGAAATATTTATGATCTGTTATTTTTCTAAACAATATTAGCTTGAGACAATGAGTTGCCCAGTTTACAGAGAAACGCCCAGGTATATTTTTTTGTTTAAAATGCAGTTGTCGGCGTTTTTTAGAGAACTCAAATATAAAAATGGTTGATTTTAAGGTTATTTTTGTGCAAAAATTATTTTTTACTAATTTATTAAACATGCCCAAACTTAAATATAAATTAGGTAAAGTTATCATTAGTTAATTCTGCACCAAAAAATGTACTTACCGAATTGGATCCTTTGGCAAAACATGAAAATGCAACGATTTAGTTCTTGAATTTTATTTACAATTAAAAACACAATAATTCACCATGATCCCTTAGATAAAATACACACACTAACGTAACGCATTTAAGCGTTGAGTTTCTTAATTAATGATATAAGGAATAATCAATCGAAATCGAGTACTAAACAAGTAACGTGAGCGATTTAGCTGTGCAATTGAACAAAATTGGTCTAATAAGACTTCTGCCTTCCTCCATTTTGTGAAAAAACTACCTATTTATTTAAAAATAATGTACAGTTGGTATGCTTTAAATGTATTGTTGACAATTCTTAAATTCACGCAATGCTACTTTAGCGTATAATTTCCTGTTTATATTTTTATAAGATTTTATTTTTTTAAGGATAGGATTCAAGCAAAATCCCCTCGTAATTTAAAATCGGTAATTTAAAATTATCTCGGTCACTTGTGCTTGTGACGGTCATTTAGTGACGCACAACTATAGTCTCGAATAATTCAAAAATTCTCACACCCCCATTAAAAAATTGGGAAATTTTCTGAAAAATTAACTTTTTAATTTTCGAAATTTTATTCAAAGGTTAATACGAAAAAATGCAAAAGTGAATTTTTTTGAAAATTTACAAATTTTTATAGTATCCGTACACTGATATCGAGAAAAAAGTGAATTTCCGACGCTGATTATAATCATATAATATTATGATTATAATAATTATTCCTTTTATTTTAATTCAGTAAGAATATTCCACCGGGCTGCAAAAAAAAACATATTCGGGGCTATATTAACATAACTTTTATTTAACACTTCGATTTATAAAATTATAATTTTGTAATTTAACTTTATAAATTAGGCTGGTTCAAAATAATAAACTATTTTTTTTTTTAAATTTCGCACTGAAATATGTTCACGATACCAAAAAAAGACACCTGAAAAATAACATGGGAAATTTTGTTTTGTTTCTTTATAATTTTCTAGCTCACAAACTAATTAAAAGATTTTTTAAGCGCGATATATATTCTTGTGGGAAATTGAACGCTCTACAAAAAATGTCTCTTATCATTTATCGATAAACCAACGAGTTCAAAAGTTATTCAAAGTCGAAGTTAAATTTATATCATAATTGCATGTTTTACTTCAATTTTAGGCAAATTCATTAGTTATTTTTTATCAAATATAAAAAAAAATCTTACAAAAAATCAAAATTACCATGTTCAATAAGCCTTTTAAATTAATTTAAAAGGCTTATTGAACACAGTAATTTTGATTTTTTGAATGATTTTTTTTATATTTAATAAAAATTAACTAATGAATTTGCCTGAAGTAAAAAATGCAATTATGACAAATTTAACTTGAATAATAATAATAACTTGAATAACTTTTGAACTCGTTGGTTTATCGAAAAATGATGAGAGACATTTTTTGTAGAGCGTTCAATTTCCCACAAGAATATATCGATGACTTTCTGCCAAAGTATCGCAAGCAGCATAACTCAAATTTAGGAAATTGAAAACATTATTGTCTTAAAGTCTGTTTTAAATTAAATATAGCCTAAAGGATTTATAACAAGTAAATAGCTTATAATTATAGCTATTTACTTATTATAAATCCTTTAGGATATATTTAATTTAAAACAGACTTTAAGACAATAATGTTTTCATTTCCCGAAATTTGAGTTATGTTACTTGCGATACTTTGGCAGAAAGTCATCGATATATCGCGCATAAAAATCTGTTAATTAGTTTGTGAGCTGGAAAATTATAAAGAAACAAAACAAAATTTCCCATGTTATTTAAATGGGAAATAGAAACGCTCGATTCGCGACCTTAAATATTAAAATTAGGAGCTCCGGTTTTCACAGGTGTCTTTTTTTAGTACAGTGAAAAAATTTCAGTGCAAAATTTTAAGAAAAAATAATAGTTGATTTTTTTGAACCAGCCTATTATAAATCATTCATTATTTTGTAGTTAGATATTTTTAATGGACTCCTTTTTGCAACAAAAACCCAACAGAGTATATTTCACGTTTATGTTTATTTTCTTAAATTTAATTTAATGTTTAGTTTTATTTTTTTTGTAATAAAGGATTTTTTTATTTAAAATATTGTTAAGTTGTTGTTTGCTACTTTTTTTTAAATGTGTATATTTTCCAAAAAAAAATTCAATTTTTCCCAAAAAAGACAATTTTTCCAAGGCCTGGAAAAAAAACGGAAAAAACAGGTTTTTTTACCAATGGGGTAGTTAAATTTTTTCTAACCTATACTTTTTATGGTTTTATTCAAGGCGTTTTGTATTTTTAAACATTTCTGTGAAATCAGAATTTCAATTGAGTTTACCGTTTTCGAGATATTTACAAAAAATAAAAAATTTTATGACGTCACAAACCTTGCCATGTGACCAACATTCTAAGATTTCTATTGGTTGAAAATTACCCTGTTGTCAAGTTGTCTTGTTAATGATTTCATTCGGTTATGTCAGAAAATACCCGAAGAGGTTATGTACAAATAATGTCACTGTCAGTTAAGTGAAAGAAAAAGAAGAGGAGGTTAAAGAAAATTTTGAAATTAAAAGTCTTATTGATAGGTTTACACATTGAAACACCGTGTGAAACCTAATAAAATGTAATAAATAGGTACCTAATAACTGTCTAAAGCAGAGTTTAATATATTTCATAGAAAAAAGTGGCAAAATAAAGCTGAAAATGAATGAAATAAATTTACAAAAAATAACAGTAAATGTAAGTTAACAATGGTATTTATGATATTTGTGTATAGTTTTTATAAAACTTGCATCCCTGATGATGAGCATCAAAACCTTTTGTAAGATTAAAAAAATGTATGACAAACTTTTGGAGTGTTTGAAGATACTACGCTCTAGAGTACATTTTTGTACTTTTCGACAATTCTGGTTTAAATACAGGGTGTTATGTTATTAATGTTATATATTAAAATGGGTTGTTCCTTAGGGTCCATAAAGAAGCACCTGAAACTTTTTTTTTCTAAATTCTAAAAATAATAAGTCTAAAAATAATTTATAATAACCTTTATCCTACCAAAAAGTATGCCACTGATCGACTAGGAACTTTAGGCTAATCTGGTTAATTTATTATGTTATGGTTGGTAACAACATGGTTTCCAAAATCTGTCAAAAAAGTTGACAAACATTGTTTAAATTTAGCTTAATTGCAAAAATGACAAAATTAACAATGCAAATTGTCAATTTGGCGTTTTTATTAATTGTTGGTTATGTCATTTTTGTACTAAAGGTAAATTCAAACAAAATCTGCCAACTTTTATGGCAGAATCTAGTGCATTTCTTTCAAATTTTAGGTTATGTGCTCAAATTGTAAATATCTTAACTAAGGAAAGTGCTTTTGGATTTATTTACACAAATTAAATGTTTAAAGTTTGACCTGAACTGGTCCCAATTTCATCTGAGTAAACAGAAAGAAAAAAACTGATAAAAAAATTAATTTTGTGGTTATGGATTTTTTTAAAATAGGAACTACATTTTCTAATCATTGCTTAAGCTAATAGCTGGATGAGTAAATAAATACAGAAGGGTGTTAGAGCTTTAAGGGCATAAAACTTTTGTATTTATTGAGTTTTTATTTATTTTTAGTAACAATTTTTTACATCTGGCAACGCGCAGCTACTTTGTTAGTTGATATCTATTTACTCAAAGAACACAAGTGTGCAGAGATAAACCAAGTGTGTAACCAGTGGCGTATCACAAAAAATATAAAAAACTTCTAATGCATATTTTTTCTTTATCTTTGGAAAAATATTTTTTTAAATATTTTTCCTTTACTCCTTATGTCAAAAGGTATTCAGTATTTTAATATATAACATTAATTACATAACGCCCTGTATACTACTTTAAAGTGTAATAAATCCCATTTCTTTCTTGAAAACACTGATTTTCCTGTAATATAAACTCAATTGACAGGTTTAGACCAACAAATTATAAATGTTAATTTTATCGAACGCGAAAATTTTTTTCATAAAAGGGCTAAAGTCACCCGTGTTTACGGTACTTTAAAACCCTATTTATAATTGAAGAAAAAATCCAATAAACTTACTTTTTTCTAGATGAATCATGCCTGTAGGGCTCTCACCTACATGATGGAGGCGCTGCCGCGGTCTTCCGCGGTCGTCGTGGACGCCGTACCGGTTTTCCTGGAAAAACTGCAGGTGATTCAGTGCATGGACGTGGCCGAGCAGTCGCTCACTGCGCTGGACATGCTCTCCCGTCGCCACGCCAAAGCCATATTGCAGGCCAGAGGCGTGTCCGCGTGCCTGATGTATCTGGACTTTTTCTCCATCAACGCTCAGCGCAACGCGCTGTCCATCACGGCCAACTGCTGCCTGAACTTGACCTTGGAGGAATTTCAGTTTGTGCAGGAATCTCTCGGCCTGTTGGCCAGCCGGTTGACGCAGCAAGACAGAAAGTGCGTGGAAAGTGTCTGCCTTGCGTTTTCGCGACTCGTCGATAGTTTCCAGTTGGAACCACAACGGTAAGTACACTTTTTAAAGCTTAATTGAACACATAACACTGTAGGGAGGTGAAAATATCACAGCTAAACGATCGGACACGTACATTTTAGTCGTAGATTACAAATCCGTGCTTGGTTTAGCTGTATCAGGTCAAAATTCAAAGATATTGGAAACACCATGTATAAATTTTATAAAAATTCAATTTGGCTGGAAATTTAAATTTAATTGATCAAAAGTAACACGTGTCCCTAAGGTTTTTTTTATATAATTTAGGAAATTCAAAATGTTTTTTTTTTTGCTGATTCTTTTTTATTGAGTATAATTGAGGATATTATATTAAATGATTAAATTAAATGATAGGAATGTATTATTTTACAAATTATAATATACCAGTATACAGTGGGTCCCCGTATCGGATTTCCAATAGAAAACACTGTTTTAGACCTGATACAGCTAAACCAAGCACGGATTTGAAATCTACGACCAAAAATTATGTTTACGTGTCCGAACGTTTAGCTGTTTAATTGATAAGAAAATGTTTACATATTTTTTACACGATTTTTAACTTCGTTTATTTATTTCCACCCATTAGCGTCCATATATTTTTAGATTGCCATAAAAATCATCTTGCTATATACGCACTTTTTATGTCAATACTATACTGCCCTACTATGGAAAAAGGCAGTAACTGCAAAAAAATGCAAAATGCGTTTTCTTGTGCTATGGTAAGCTATGGACATTTTGTAACCGAATTCAACACAGAAATGCAGTCAAATATCTCATAAGTTAAAAAAATCAATTAAATACCTATTGCTTTTTATAAAAATGTAGTTTATGCTAATTTTCCACAAATTTCTTGTTTAGCAGTTACTGCCTTTCTCCATAGTTGGGCAGTAAACAGGGTGAGTCATTTAACTTGAATTGTCAAAGACTTGGGCCAGAATGGGTCAAGATACTTTATACAGATTTTTTATCAAGAATCTGACAAGAATTGTTCCAGATTCTTGGCCAAGATTATTGGGCAAGACTTGGGTCAGAATGGGTCAAGATACTTTGTACAGATTTTTTATCAAGAATGGGACAAGAATTGTTCCAGATTCTTGGCCAAGATTATTGGGCAAGACTTGAGCCAGACTGTGGCCAGAATTTTGACAAGAATTTGACCAGAAATCTATAGAGTAGAGGTTCTCATTCTACAGTAGCATCAGAGCCGTACCGAGGCACACTTTTTTTTTGGGGGGGCGGAGACGATAAAAAACCAACTTATTTTTTTATATGTATACAGTATATCCATGGATAGAGGGCCCAAGAGGACAAATGGACTAAAATTTTCATTTTTCGACCAAAAGTCATTCCTTATAAAAAGTTCTGCCTATTTAAAAAAGTCTATTGCCATACTTTAAATTTGAAAATATTATACAGGGAAGTCAAAAAACATGAAATACTCTCAGAAGTAAACTACCTTTATTTTTCGTTTTGGGGCAAAATAACAAATAAAAAAAAGATTTCAAATTGTATCCAAAGACCATTTGTAAAATTTTAACTTGGTATTCGGAAAAATAAAATTTGGAATATTATTATTATTATTATTTAAAATTTAATTTCATATTTACAAAAATTAAACAATCAACAATAATCAAGTAACGTCAAATTGACAATTTGCATTCTATCATTGTTCATTTTGGTAATTAATGTAAATTTACACAAAATGTCCGGGTTAAGAACCCTATACATAGGTAAAGGATACGTGAAATGAGGTACAAAAGTATAAATTAGAAATTTAATTTTAAAACTTTATAAAAAAAAGAAAATTTGGAATACTGAGTTGAAATTTTACAATTAGTCTTTGGATAGGATATCCCAATAATATTATTTGACATTTTGCTCCAAAACGAAAAATAAAGGTAGTTAATTCCTGAGAGTATTTCATGTTTTCTTGTTTTTCGACCCCCCGTATAAAATTTTTAAAAAGTATAGTAATAGACTTTTAAAAACAAGCAGAACTTTTTATGAAGAATGACTTTTGGTCCATTTGTCCTCTTGGGCCCTCTAGTATAAAAAGTATACGCTATAAATATAAAAAATGGAACCTACTATAGGTAGGTAAATCAAAAAAAATCAAAATAAAATCCAAATTTAAGCTACTAGGTTAAACCTAAAAAATGCAATTTTATTTACGGTAACAATTATAGGAGGTTACAATAGGTTAAAAATTATAATATTGTAAATTATAATTTCTAATATGTATGGTTTAAAAATTATATTTTATTTATTGTGATGAGTAGGTTGGTAGGGTAGGTAAACCCTACCAACCTACCCAAATAGATTTTGCCAACCGTGTTTGGATTTGGAACCAACTGCCTAGACTTTGGGGGGGCGACTCCCCCCCCTACACCCCCCTTAGGTCCGGCCCTGAGTAGCATCATTCACAATACTCTACTCTATTAAATGAAATAGTCAAAATTCTACTATTTGAAGTAGTACCAGCATTTTTTACTAATAAAGTAGTCGTTTTCACTTTAAAATGGTTATATTTTACTACTTAGGCCCGTTATTTCCACTGCGAGTTATATGCGAGTTACATCTAAACTTAAAGTTAAATTTAAAAATATATATTTCAATGTCTGGATTACTCTAATTTGTGAGTTAACTCGCTTTACAATTAACTCGAAGCTCAGGTACAAGTTAACCTAGACATTGTGAATTAACTTATGTCAATTTGACAACATTAAACTGTTATAGGGTACCTCTAATATTATATAATATAATATATAATACATAATATATTATACGATATAAACGCATACAGTGATGATGAAGAGATCCCAATTCGTAAGCAACGAGTAGTGCGGGAGCGAATTAACCATTTTGAAAAATGGGACGGTAAAGAGTTTTTTCAGCGGTTTCGTTTATCTCCCCAAACAGTTGAGGACCTATTAGAACAAATTGAGAATGTTATTTCATATACAAGTGATAGGTAATAACTTAATTTACAAATTAATGTTTTTGTAAGGAAAATAAATATTTGTTTTACAGAAATGACGCACTTTCAGCGGAAAATCAGTTATTATTGACCCTCCGATTTTATGCCACTGGATCTTTTTTAAATGTAGCAGCAGATTTTTGTGGGGTACACATATCCACTGCTAGTAAAAAAATCAAACGAGTAAGCCACGCAATAGCTAGGCTGAGACCACATTATATAAGAATGCCGATTGATGCTGAGGAAATAGCTGAATGTCAAACGAATTTTTTTAATATTGCAAGGCTGCCAATGTGTATAGGGGCCATTGATTGTAGCCATGTAAAAACAGTATTTTTCAATTAATGTCCAAACTATTGCTGATGCAAATCTTAAGATACGGAATATTGTTGCCCGCTGGCCAGGAGCAACTCATGATGCTCAAATATTCCGAAATTCTACAATTCTGCAGTCATTCGAAAGGGGAAAATTTAGAAACTGCATCATCGTTGGTGACAGTGGGTACCCAATAAAGCCCTACCTTTTAACACCACTGAGGCAACCAGGAAACGTAGCAGAAAATTTGTACAATGAGGCACAAATTCGCACACGCAATGTCGTCGAAAGATCTTATGGAGTTTGGAAAAGAAGGTTTCCGGGATTGGCTTTAGGACTTCGATTAAAAACTGAAACAATACAAGCTTTAATAGTGGCTACAGCCTGTGAAATGCAAGAAGATGTACCAGAAATAACTGATGAAGAAGAGGCAGCGATTAACTTAGTAAACAACAATGCTCCAGTAGTAAATGATTTACCAGAAATTAATAGAGGTGGTGTTAATAACCTTACAAGATATAATTTAATTAATAATTATTTTGCCAGATTATGAATATTATTAAATCTTTTAATATTAATAAATATTTTAAATGTTTATATTTTTATCCGAAATTGGCAGTAAAGTAGTCAAAGTTTTAAAGATAACTGAAATTCATGGTTAAAGAAATTTACAACATTTCAGCTGGGGGGCCTTAAGCCTTTCTGTTGGGGGGGCCCAGGCGGCAACTAAAAAAAACGTGATTGTAATACGTTTCCAAGCATTATCTTTCTGCTTCCAAGTAAACTGCCCACTTTTTTTACATTCTATGATGTGCTTTTCGTTTAAAACCAGATTAAGCAGCAACTGATCTTCTGTTTTACTAAAATTGGTTGCTCTCGATTTGGACTCTTTTTTCTCAATCTCACTCATTTTTGCTGATAATGCTTTACCCAAAATTTAATTTAATTGCAAGCTGTCACACAAATATTCAAACCATAGATAACAAAACTACAATTTAACCTCAATAAACAACGCACTTTATCAGACCGTTCATAGATGGCTGCCCAATTTAAATAGAATCCATAAAATAATAATAGAATCACGGATACCAACATAAAGATAAACTTCTTAACTTAGAGTTACTAAACTCGGGTAGCAAAATCTTTGGAAAAAACCATTAAAACGTAACTTCAAGTTAACTTCGAGTTTAAGTTAATCTTAGGTTTACTAACACGAAAGTTTACTCGCATTGGAAATAACGGGCCTTAAATAGTTAAAGTTTGACTAATTTAAGATAAGTTTCGAATAGTTAAAAGTACCTAATTTCTTTAATCGTTTGTTTAATATTATGAACAATATTTATAGACAAATAAAATTATTTTTTATAAAAGTGACTGATAGTGATTGGTTATGACATCCGCTTGACAAGCTTGACAAGCGACAGATCGGAGTTCAAACCCCGGCTGGGTCACAACTTTTTTAAATTTAAATCTACTAATTTGACTATTTCATTCAGTAGAATTTGACTAATTATTAGTGACTGTTTTTTCGCTTTGACAATTAAAAATGGTGCATCTGAACGATCTAAATAAAGAGTACTTATTTTTAGTAAAAAACTATAAATTTTCATAATTTCATAAAAAAAATTAAAACATTAACCTAGAAAAAAGTTAGGGCTATTTTTGTAACTTTGCCCCCCCAAATGTAACGCCTATGATTCAATTTTAACAGTTTTGATCTAA